GTCCTGTCGGTCCTGTCCGTCCTGTCGGTCCTGTCGGTCCTGTCCGTCCTGTCGGTCCTGCCCGGGACGCACCTGCCAGGACCTTTGGTGGCCTCCAGATGGCTGACGGGGCCTTTCTCATACCCGTACATGTCTGGTTCCATGTCTTTGTTTTTTTATTTTTTCGAGGCAGGGTTTCTCTAGCTTTGGCGCCTTTCCTGGATCTCACTCTGTAGACCAGGCTGGCCTCGAACTCACAGAGATCCTCCTGCCTCTGCCTCCCGAGTGCGGGGATTAAAGGCGTGCGCCCCCGCCGCCGGCGTCTGGTTCCATGCTGATTCACCCGTGAGAAAGCGTCTTGTCAGGCCATGCAGAGGCCCTGGGGCAGGAGCAGGGGGAGTCCCGAGGCGGAGGAGCGCCAGGATGGGGAGATGAAGTGCATTGCACGGGGCTTTGACGGCCGTGCAGGAGTCTCGGTGTGAAGTCACGGGAGGTTCGCCGGGCGGCGATGAGGTCCATTTTGCAATGGGCAGTTCGCAGCTGTCATCAGTGCGGTGTTGGAGCCCGGGGGGTGGCGTCACGGGGCGGGGGGGCATCCTCCAGGACCAGCTCCCAACGGGGGCGTGATTCAGGGTTAGGTCAGTTCCCGGGGCCTGGTTTCTGTCCCTGCCTCCACCTCTGGCCCTGTGTGGAGCTGGGGCAGGTACCGGGGCAGCCGTGAGAGCCTGGGGCAGGTACTGGAGCAGCCGTGAGGGCCTGGGGCAGGTACCCGGGGTAACCGTGAGGGCCCGGGGCAGGTACCCGGGGTAACCGTGAGGGCCCGGGGCAGGTACCCGGGGTAACCGTGAGGGCCTGGGGCCCAGAGAACAGCCCAGCAGGACCCCTGGGCTGCTCAGGGCGTGAGTGACCGCCCGTGGCCGAGCTGGCCGTGAAGCGCGCACGGGGTGGGGGTGGCGGCGGCCGTGGAGGTTCGGAGATGCAGGGCGGGTGTGCAGGGCGGGTGTGCGGCGCAGCACGGGCCTCACCTCCCTCTCCTGTAGCAGGTTAAGGAGCCGACTGTGGAGCAGGGCAGGGAGGCGGTCGCCATGGTGACGGAGCAGGAGGTGGAGGCCATAGGGAAGACCCTGGTGGACCCCGGGCAGCCCCTGCAGACGCGCTTCCGGGCCCTGTTCACGCTGCGGGGGCTCGGTGGCCCGCACGCCATCGCCTGGATCAGCCGGGCCTTCGAGGACAGCTCCGCGCTGCTCAAGCACGAGCTGGCCTACTGCCTGGGCCAGATGCAGGACCCGCGCGCCATCCCCGTGCTGGCGGACGTCCTGCGCGACGCCGGCCAGGAGCCCATGGTGCGGCACGAGGCCGGTGAGCGGGGCGTCTGAGGACGACTTCCGGCGCGGTCCCAGCGGGCCAGCCTGGGGTCAGGGTTCTGGCTGGGAGGCTGATGCGCGGCCGGTGCCCCGTCTGTCTCCCCAGGGGAAGCGCTGGGGGCCATCGGTGACCCGGAAGTTCTGGACCTCCTGAAGCAGTACTCCACCGACCCCGTGGTTGAGGTAGGGGACCGACTGCCCGTCAGACCTGCTCGGGAGTCCGTGCCGGGTTGACAGAGCGACTCCTGGGGAGGACGCTGCGGGGATGGGCACGGGAAGGCGGGCAGGGCAGGGCCACCCCCGACCCCTCCCCAGAGCTCTGGGCCTCAGCCCGGGGAATCTGACCTCTGCCCTTGTCTGTGTGAGCCTTCACACACACACACACACACACACACACACACACACACGCCCGCGCACACACACACGCACGCACACATGCCCGCGCGCGCACACACACACACACACACACACACACACACGCCCGCGCGCACGCACGCACACGCACACCCGCTGCACGCTCCTGTCCCGGAGCAGGCGCTGTGTGGCCTTTTGTGTCTGGGTCCCGCTAGGCGCCTGTCCCGAAGGGCTCCCCGCTGTGCTGTGGGTCCGCGCCTCCCTCCTGTTCCTGGCTGAGTAATACTCCAGCCTGTGAGGAGGGACTGCGCATGTGTGGCTGTCCGTGACTCCTGTGGCCGCTGGGCCCCTTCTACTCTGGCCTTGCTCTCCCTCGCGGGCTTCCGGGCATGCGTCTGTCCCCGTCCCCCGCCCAGGTGGCGGCTCACACCCCCTGGTCTGTGTCCAGGAGAGGGGTGGGTCCGGCGGGTCCCGTGTCCCAGCGCCGGGACCCACGGCCGCCCCTCCTGCCCTCGCTCAGGTGGCCGAGACGTGCCAGCTGGCCGTCGGGCGCCTGGAGTGGCTGCAGCAGCACCCCGGGGAGGCG